CAGTGTAAGTCTTTAACTTTACAGTTATATTTAATCTACTCAAATCAACAGAAAAATGAAAATATATACTATAAAACAATATTAACTATATTTTTATGCGTTATATTAAATATACTTTATTAAAAACTATAAAAATCACATATTTTATGGAAAAAATTCATTATAAAATCGTATTGACAAAACCGTATTGGCCCCGGAAAAGCTAGGTACGGCCTTGGATTTGTGGATAAGATCCGTTATGGGCTTTTAATCAATAACACTGGCCCAACTTTCTTTGTTTAACTCTTGTGCGGCCCATTTGATGTTGGGGCGCAGTTCAATCTCAACATAGAGATGATTATAGTATTTTATAGTGTTATTGAATGACCACCAAATGTCCAAATGTTCAAAGACTTTTGAATAATGGTGTAGCCAGTGTTCTAAAAAGCGTTTTAGACATTTGTCTAGGCGGCGCTTAGGCGTTATACCCCTATAAACCGTGGCGATTACCGCTTTTGCCGCCTAAAATATTATGGTATTATTATAATAAAATACTATAATTTTTTTATATATAAACCGTAAAAATTTTATATATTTAGCTATTAAATGATGAATATAAATACAATATAAATTTTATTAGTTATAAATTATGGTTTTTTATATATTTTATTATATATATATCTAATATATTATGTATTTTTGTAAAACGCTTAAACCGCCTATTAAATCGCCTAGGTTCCGATTAGGCGTTCTAGGCACTAGGCATTGGGTCACCATCTGCTTAGCGCCTAGCGCTTTCTTGAACATTGGGTTTACCTAACATAATTGCCTTATATTTATAGTAATAAATCACGTCTTTGAGATTAAAAAAAAGAAAGAAAGACTTTTAGATTGTAGTAATCTATAGTATGCCTAACTGCCTAGTGTATAATCACGTGATTCACGTCTTTGAGATCAACAAAGACTAGCGGAGAGAGAAGAGATTAAAGGGGCGTTTAGCTTACATTTTAGATCCAACTTTTCTTCTAATCTCAAAATAATTTCGAGTGGAGAGAGACAGAGACTTGAAAGGAGCATAACTTTGAGATTACAAAGCCAACCCTTCTTCTTTTTTCTTCTTTCCAATATCATACTATACGACCATGGAATCTGATGGAGTGTCACTACCATGGATCCACGAGCATTTGATGGTGCCTTGGAATTCTTTGGAGAAAGGTGATTGTTGTGGACGTTTTGAAGCTATCTCTGATGGCTTCTATTGCGAAGGCTGTAAATTTTTTGTCCACAAGAAATGTAGCGAGTCCTCCCAATATATCCAACACCCATCTCACGCCGGTCACACTCTTGAGCTTCGAAGCAGCGGCGTACCTTTCATGTGGAATTATCAAAATTGCAATTTATGTGGAAGCAGCGGCGTGGATCTATTCTATTGTTGTGAGGTATGTAACTTCCACATGGATCTATACTGTGCCAAGTACCCACCACCAGAGGTTATTGACAATTATGAGATGCATGGCCACAAGCTGACCCTTTTCAAGAAGCAGACCAGCTGTTACTGTGGTGCTAACTGTGGGATTAGAGTTAACGGGTTTGCTTACAAATGTCATAAATGTGATTTAGCCTTCCATGTGGACTGCGTATGGCATCCGCGAGAGGAACAACACCCATTAAAGGTAAACCACTTCTATGGTTGATGATAAATTGTTTTACCTCTTGTAACTTTGAGATCATATCTAACTTTGCTTTTTCTTCCCAGTATACGACGATGGACGCTGGTGAGAGAGTGTCACTACCATGGATCCACGAGCATTTTATGACGCCTTGGAATGATCTGAGGAAAGGTGATTGTTGTGGACGCTCTGAATCTATCACTGACGGTTACTACTGCAAAAGGTGTGATTTTTTTGTTCACAAGAAATGTGGCGACGAGGCCCCTGAATCTATACAACACCCGTCTCACTCTATCCACCCTCTTTGGCTTCGAAGTGATCCACATCCACATGGTACTTTTTGCAATTTATGTGGAAGGAGAATCAAGGATCTATTCTATTGTTGTGAGATCTGTGACTTCAGCGTGGAATCATATTGTGCTAAGTACTCACCACCAGAGGTTATTGACTATTCGGAGACGCATCTCCACAAGCTCATCCTTCTCAAGAATCGGATCGGCTTTGACTGTCATGCTAAATGTGGGAAGGAAGGCTATGGGTTTCCTTACGAATGTCATAAATGTAATTTAGCATTCCATGTGGCTTGCGTATGGCAACCGCCAAAGATTGATCACCCGTTAGAGGTCAACCACTCTTACCATTCTTTGCACCCTCTTAAGCTCCACATGGGTCAATTACCGGACTACTCTGATGGAAAGTGTTGTCTTTGTGGAAGAGAGATTGATGATAGATTGTTCTATCATTGTTCTTCTTGCAACTTCACCTTGGATATGCGTTGTGTTTTACACCCACCACCACAATCTCTTGTGGATTGGAAAGCTCATGAACACCAACTCACCCTTCTCCCAAGACTCGATTATTTTACATGTAATGCTTGCGGCCTCAAGGGAGATCGAAGCCCTTACGTATGTTTTCAATGTGGTTTCATGATCCATCAAGACTGTCTTGCCCTTCCACGCATCATAAACATCAATCGGCATGGTCACCGTGTTTCTCGCAGTTCTGTTCTTGGTGTTGTGAATTCTGTATGTGGAGTTTGTCGCAAGAATGTGAATTGGACTTGTGGGGGTTATTCGTGTCAGAGGTGTCCTGGTTATGTCGTTCATTCAAAATGCGCTACAAGAGAAGATGTTTGGAACGGGAAAGAACTCGAAGGAGTACCTGAGGAAATAGAAGATATAGAGCCATATGTGGTCATAGATAAAAACACAATACAACATTTCAGCCACAAAGAGCATTACCTTAGGCTCAACGGTAATGGTCTTCTATGGGAAGAAAACAAGCGGTGCAACGCATGCACCCATACCATTGGTTTCCAATCCTTCTATGGCTGTATCAATTGTGACTTCGTTCTCCACCAAAAGTGTGCTGAGTATCCTAAAAAGAAATGGCATGTGCTACACAATGAACAACTTACTTTAGTTACAAGCACGGCCAATTACTTTACGTGTCGTGCTTGTCGTAGTATTTCCAATGGTTTCGTGTACAAGCATGGGCATATGGAATTAGATGTCTGTTGCGGTTCAATTTCTGAGCCATTTGTCCATCCAAGTCATCCCCAACATCCCTTGTATCACATTCCACGAGACAAAACGGAAATCTGCAGTGGTACAAACACGTGGGAATCATATGTTCTCAGGTGCATTGAAGATGGTTGTGAATTTGTCTTATGCTTTGGATGTGCCACTTTACCACAAGTAGTAAAGCACAGAGTTGACGATCGCCCTCTCTCACTATGCTATGGAGGCGAAGAGGCAAGTGGTAAATACTGGTGTGACAATTGTGAGCAAGAAACCAATCCAAAGGCATGGTTCTACACGTGTAAAGATCAACGGGCTAGTTTGCATACAAGGTGTGTGCTCGGAAAGATGGAATGGCTCATGCCAAGAAGCACAATAAAGTTTTCTAGTGGCAAACCGTTTGAGGTGGTGCTCAATACTAGTATAACTCGTCCATTTTGCAAAAAGTGTAAGTCGCGTTGCATATATCCTATCATTTTTAAGTTGCTTGGAACCTCAGATACATACTTTTGCTCGTACAACTGCGCGTACAGCATATAGCTTGTTTCACAGTGAGCGAATTGAAGATAGATCATTAAAACTCAAAAATGGAATAACGTCTGTGAAAAACCAAG